CCAAAACCCTTCATTTCACACTTGCTTTTCATATTTCGTTGATCAATTCAATAAAAAAGAATAATCTTGTTTTGTTCACATGGAAATTGGGTCTTTCACATTGCTTTCTCCAGAAGATTTTTCTTTTAATTTCAACAACAACAGCAGCGATTTATCGAGGTTTCTGGATATGGAAAATGGGTTCAATGGGAACTACAAGAAGAGGGGTAGAAAAGATTTCGAGGAATCTTTAGTCAACGAAAAGAGTGGGTTTGGTGATATACTTTCCTCGATTTTGATGTTTGACGAGGAAGCAAAGCAGGAGCATCAATGGTTCACTGATTCAGATCACAAACAGCTTCCTTCGAACCCAATTACAACGAGAAAGTTCAAGAAATGAATGTGTTCTTTGATCAATTCGAATACCAATACTCTGAAATGAACCAACTGGATAATTACAGTTCCAGAAACAAACGCGCGCGTAAATCGGGCTTAGCTGTTGCTACAGTAAAGACGGAGACGGTTTCATTCGGGTCGGACGATGTGGGTCCGTCGCAATCGGGTACCGGCTCAAGCCAACAAAGGCGGTTATGGGTGAAAGACCGATCAAAGGACTGGTGGGACAAGTGTAACCACCCAGATTTCCCCGATGAGGAGTTTAAACGCGCGTTTCGTATGAGCAAAGCTACATTCAACATGGTCTGCGAGGAGCTCGAACCGGTGTGATGAAAAAGAACACGATGCTCCGCGATGCGATCCCGGTTCGTCAGCGCGTGGCGGTTTGCATTTGGAGACTAGCCACGGGTGAACCGCTCAGGATGGTATCGAAACGGTTCGGGTTGGGGATCTCCACTTGTCATAAGCTGATCATGGAGGTTTGCGCCGCCATTAAAACCGTTCTGATGCCCAAATTCGTTCAATGGCCCGACGAAAACAAAACGAAGAGAATCATACGAGGATTCGAATCCGCCATCGGGATCCCAAACGTGGGCGGTTCAATGTACACGACTCACATTCCCATCATCGCACCGAAAGTAAGCGTCGCTGTGTATTTCAATAAAAAACACACGGAGAGGAACCAAAAAACTTCGTATTCAATCACCCTCCAAGGCGTCATCGATGAAACCGGAGCTTTCACCGATGTATGCATCGGCTGGCCCGGTTCTATGACCGATGACCAAGTTCTGGAGAAATCAGCGGTTTACCAAAGAGCCACCGGGGGGCATTTGAAAGGCGTTTGGGTCGTGGGGAACAAAGGGTACCCATTAATGGACTGGGTTTTGGTTCCCTACAGTCACCAAAATCTCACTTGGGCTCAACACGGTTTCAACGATAAGATCGGGGAAATAGAAAAGGTGGCGAAGGACGCATTCGCGAGGCTAAAACGACGGTGGTCGTGTTTACAAAAGAGAACCGATATGAAGCTTCAAGACCTGCCGATTGTGCTCGGGGCTTGCTGCGTTTTGCATAATATCTGTGAGATGAGAAACGAGACAATGGATCCCAAGCTTAAATTCGAGCTTTTTGACGACGAGGTGATGCCGGAAAATAACATAAGGTCCATGGCTGCCGCACAAGCTAGGGATCACATCGCTCACAATTTGTTGCACCACGGTGGCTGTACCACGTCCACTGGTTTTCTATAGCGGTTTGTTATACTATCATTAATTAGTGTTGTTGATTTAGGAATCTTTGCTTGTAATTCTTTTTGGGGTGTAGCAATAAATATTATTCTTGATTTTTTTTTTCAAACACAAGATTACTAATCTATATACGTGTATTTTTAAAAAGTCCCTTGCTTGTTTGCTTTTATATATCACATCGTTAAATTTGTTGACCGTCATTCATAAAGTGTTTATCTAAAAAAGTCAAAACATTATTGTTTAAATTGTCGAAGAAAAACTTTGAGAGTCCAATTGAAAAGATTAAAAAAATCGAGGGTCTTTTTGCTATTATGTCATATATATTAAAGTGCTTTGGGGTCGGGTGTGGGACCGTCTGGCTGACCTGAGGTGGTCGGATTGCAAAATGGTTCTCGGACAACTATATGTAATAAATAAACAGAGAAACCTAGGTAGCTGAGCAGCCTGAGCTAAGCTAAGCTAAACTAAGCTGATGAACTTTTCATAATCTTATTTGTTTATGAAAAATAATGGCATTTGCTAATGGGAATGATTATTTAGTAACAGAGGAATATATTCGATTCTCCTAACCAATTATTACTTGCATCACAATTATATCCTTTTAATTTTTCTCTATTAATTTATCACAATTATATTTCATCTTCGTAGGAGAAAAAAAAATTAATTTTCAAATTCTTAAGTCTCAACATTGGAGGAGCATTGTATGTAAGGAAGGTTATGGGTCGAATTAGATTTTTGATTCACTTAAATTTATCTTGAGTATAACATTTTTTTCATTTGTAATTGGACTTGACTTTAGTTTAAGGAAGTTTCATCCTATCTAAAATCTGACTCAATTTTTAAGGTGAAAAATTACATCCAATCTAACAAATATATATATATATATATATATATATATATAAAAGTATTAAATATAGTTTTATTTTTGGATTGAGTTTAATCATATTTTTTTTTACCATAAACTCCATTCTAACCAAACTTGATTCGACATTATTCTTCAAAAGATTTAAACTCATATTAAAAAGAAACATGAACCTATAAAATAAGGTCAAAATTTATTTATTTTGAGTTTAGTGTTCATCCCTAATTGTAAAATAAGATATTTCAATTTTAAAGTTTTAAATCTTAACGTTTGTTGAAGGAATATTATAGTAACAAAAGAAATTTCAGTTTTCAAGTTTTAAATCTTTACCCTTGTTAGAGTTGCACTTTTGGTACATTTTAGTTTCCTTGAGTTTCAATCTTCAACAATTGTTGAAGGTGCTTTTTTTCTAACTCATTAGACATATCAAGTGTCTATGTTTTTGCACTCATTATATATTATGTTGTTTGATTTAGTATCACAAAATATAAAACTTAAATTTAAATTGAGAGTTCTTGATAAGAAAATTTTGAATTCAGAGACTAAAAAGAAAAAAAAATCAAACAAAATTCAATATAATATATTAACCATTAGTTTTATTTTCTTTTATCAACGTACACATTGTCATCCTAATCTATGAATGTCTTTTCTAAATTGTTGGATATTGTTGATTCTGTAAAGTTTTTTCAGTATCATCCTAAGTGTAAAAAAGTTAAGCTAACTCACTTGTGCTTTGCATATTTTTTTTTTATTTTTTTGCAAAGGTTCTCTGGATTCTATTATAGGTGTGAAATGTGTCTTGGAGAAATTTTATGAGTTGTCTGGATTAAGGCTTAATGTTTCAAAGACTGAAATTTTTATTGCTGGTATGGTAGCTAGTCAGATGTCTTTGGTTCATGAGACAACTGGTTTTAAAATGGACAGCCTTCCTGTGATATATTTAGGGGTACCTCTTGTCCCTAAAAAGTTAACAGAGAAGGATTGTGCAAGTTTGGTTGAGAAAATTAAGGCTAAGTTGGGACTTTGGTCGAATAGATGATTAAGCTATGTATGAAGGTTGCAATTGGTTAAAGTTGTTTTATTCAGCATTGCAAATTTCTGGTGTAGACATCTAATCTTGCCTGCTGCTGTGATTAAAAGGGTGGACTAACTTTGTGCTAGATTTTTCTGGAAGGGTGGAGATGTGCCAGCAAAGGGAGCTCGAGTGTGTTGGGGGAGTATTTGTGCTCCTAAGTCTGAAGGAGGGTTGGGTCTGAAAAATCTAAAATGCTGGAATAGAGTTTGTGTGTTGTTGTTGGTGAAGAACTTACTTGTTGCTGAGGGTTCTCTTTGGGTGGCTTGGGTAAGGACATATGTCTTTAAGGACATTGATTTTTGGTTTGTTTAATGTAAATCCTCTTTTAACTGGAGTTTGCGAAAAAATATGAAAATGAGGGAGGAGGTTCAACCTTTGTTCTTTGGGATTACGGATTGGCCTAAAGTCAATACTCGATGGTTGTGGCAGAGATCAGGGGAGAAAAGATAAAGTTTTACTACAAAACCTTGTCTGATTCCCTATGCACATTCCTAAGCATTCTCTTATTGCTTGGATGATTATTCTTGATAGGTTACCAACTGCTGACAGATTGCTTAGAATGAGGATTGAGGTTGATGTTAAATGTAGATTATGTGGAGACGTGCCTGAGGCTCACAACCATATTTTCTTTGAATGCTCTTTCTCGAAAGTAGTTTGGGAGGTGGTTCTTCAGTTATGCAGCATTTTGTAGGAATGTGGGAAGTTGGGATGAGGAGTTGGATTGAGCGATCTCTCGATTTAAAGGTAAATCATTCCTTGTTTTTATACTTAGGGTAGCTTGGTGTGCATACATATACTGTATATGGGATGAAAGAAATTATAGGCAATTTAGGGGTGTTAGTAGAGGTATTGAGAGTATGATGGATTATATTAAAAGAGCGATTAGGTTAAGGTGCTTAGAAAGGTCATTAATGATGGTGTTGTAAACAAGAATCTTTATATAGATTGGGGGATTCATACCTCTTAGGAGGTTGTATTTTTTACTCAATTGGTTTGTAGTAGTGTGTTCTACTGCTTCTTGTATAATAATAAGATATATTTATCTAAAAAGTAATTTATTTTAGAGATAAATTATAATATTTATAATAATTTAAAGTTAAAATAATTTCTTAAATTAGATTGGGCACTGTTAACTAGTGTTTTCTACAGATTTTTTTTAAAATAAATCACCTTTTATAATAATTAATTGAATAAACTTGAATTAACTAAAGACAATTATTTACTCAATATAATAATTCTAATATTTAAGACACTAGTCAATAAAATAATCCAATTAAATTTCACAAAAAGAGGACATGGCTAGGAGCCGGCTCAACATAATTATATTACCAAAATGTCCCCGTTCAGATACTCGACACTTCTTCACCCGAAGCACAACGAACCATTGGCAATTGGTCATTTACTGAACCAGATTTCGTTGCCGATCAAAATACAGGCTCGCTTTCGACCTCCACGGCCATGTACGAACTTTCCACTTTGAGTTTTTAGCTTCGAATCAATCACGTAAACAAAATTTCGTTCCCATAATTTAAAGAATCTAATTATCTTGCTAAATAATTACGGCCTCCTCCATGACCTCTTCTCGCGATTCACCGAAGGTAGATTTTTACTTACATTATTGGTTCCAAGCTTTAGGGTTCTCTTTTTCTACTATTAATCTTTTTGTCTATTTGATTTACTTCTTATTTCAGTTTTATTTTCTAATTTTCGTTTTGGTTTAATTGTCAGATGTTTTCTGCAATTTTTATTAGTATTTTTATTTATTTTCTAGTCAATTGTTGAGGATGGATGAATGAAGTATTATTTGATGTATACGCGAGGATTTGTAGGATAAGTTGGTAAATTTGAAGCTTAGACTGGCTTTACTGTGTTAAATACAGCATTTTATGTGAGGAAGCTGGATTACGTTGATTAGTCAAAAAAAATTATGAAATATGGAGGAATTTATGTGAGATGATATTTTGTTTGTCTTGTTGTCTGATTCAATATTGGCTTGGATTTAATTGAAGTAAGGAAAGTGAACTTGAAGGCAATTATATATATCCTTGTGTCATGGTTAAAATTGTGAGGAGCAGAAGACCAATTTTGATTAGGAAATAATTAAAATAGGAATGCTGCTCTTACTGACTGCTCTGATCTTTAAGTATCTTTCATTTGAAGTCACATTGAGTTCAGCCAGTTAAATAATGTTGTTCATCTTAAGTTATAATCTTGACGAAATGATATTTTATTTATACATATATATTATATTATTTATATTATATTGAATTATACATACAGGCTATTGATCAGCTGGAGCTTTTAGCTAAATAAATGTCAGTGTTCTTCTGCTTGAATTTGGTTAATGTGCTGAATTTTATTTGCTGGGCTAACTTTTTTGGAACTACGATTCTATATCAAGTCATAATATGTTAATGACAAACAGACTTAGTAGCAATTTTTATTTTGATGCATGAGAGCTGATTTTACGTGGAGGAGTTGTATGGTTTCGAAACTTGTTTAAATAAAAGGTAAATTGAATGGGTGGTTTAATCACAATTTTATTTTATATAGGTTTTACTGGCGAGTACCTTAAGGAAACTGTTATAGTAGACTATCTATATTAAATATAGTAGTAGACTATTAATACAATGATTTCCTAAGCACTGGAGAAAATAATGCATAAAAAACCTTGTATTCACTGCTTTCATTTATTGCATTTATGTGAGGTGCCTTTGCCAAGTTACTTTTTTTACTAGTTTTTATAATATATAAAAATCTCTATATTGATTATGCATCCAATATCTGGTCATTATTTAGTTATGTAAATTGATAGCTCAACATGAATTGAAAATGTAAATGTAAGCTACTGAAGTACCCTCCTTTAACCTTTGGGAACTCGGTAAAAAGCTTATTCGCACAGGCTGTGGAAGGTGATGAATGTCATCTTGGTTCGGCGACCTTCGATATTTCTTTCTAACAACTATTGATTATTATATGGCTTAACTTTAATCTGCTACTTCTAGTTGTATTTTTTCCCTTATAAAAAAGTGTATTTTTTGTGTTTGCATTATGCACAAAACAGCATGAATTTTGAGGTAACATTGAGTGTATTTTTTCTAATATGTAATTTACATGCTTATCCTTAGTTTTTTTTTCTTATGTGCAGATACATAGTCCGTTAAGAGTTTAAATCAGCCTTTATGTGCTGCTTTCCTTCAATATTGTAATGATCCGCTGTATTTATCGGCCTCGTAAAATTGTGGATTTGTAAAATCAGATGCAGTGGAGATGTCCAGCAAGTTTGAGCTTTCTTCTGGTAGCCCAGACAGGCCACTGTATACCAGTGGGCAGCGTGGACCCCTCTTAGCTGCTCAATTAGACAGATCAGTTAGCTTTTGTGAGACCATGGAGAATCAGATTCTATCTTCCATGCCAAGCATGTTGAGAAGCAGGTCGGTAGCAGCCCAAGGAAATGTATCTAAATTCTTCCAGTGCTTGCGTTTTGATCCTAAGGTGGTTGCTACTGATCATAAGTCTAATCGTCAAGGAGATTTTAAACGGCACATTAATGTTGCTCTCGGCCTTTCTGCCAATGAATCTCCTATCTCATTGTCAAAAGGCAAGCTCCTTCCCTCTCCTATTCCAGAAGAAATCAAACGAGTTAAGGCTGGTCTACGGGATTGCTCTGTCAAAGCAAGGTATTCTTTGTAAATTTTGTGTTTTTGGATTGGATCTAAGATGTCATTAGTTATTAAATTAAATCAGTTAACAGGGAGCGAGTGAAAACTTTCAATGAAGCCTTATCAGTATTCAACAAGTTTTTCTCAAGCATACCATCTAAGAAGAGATCTCGATCAGAAAGCTTTTCTAATGATCGTCCTAATGCCTTGATATCTGGTGATCGGTCGGTCTTGAGCCCTTCTATTGGTAAGATGGGAATACATAATAATTCCATTGCTGGAGGTCTTGAATTTGAACAGAAGAAGTCAGAAGAAAAGCCTAAAAGTGCTATTCCTAATAGACGTTCTCGGACTTCTTTGGTGGATGTGAGGGTTTGTATCTGTGATATCTTCTATCTTTGTGCCAATTTGCATGTGGCTTGCCTTTTTTTTTTTTTGCATCACTATCTGTTGAAGAAGAATTTAACACTTGTTGTAATGGATCTAGATGGATATACGGAATAATGCTCTAGTCAGGCAGCCTGGTAATACAGATAGAGATAAGGAAATGCTCAGGGTTTCAAACTGTGGCTCAGTTCAGGGTGAAGAGCGAACTTTATCAGGTGGTGTTGATGGATGTGAAAAGACAAAGATGAAGAAAAAGCGTTTTGGGATAAAAGCGGACGTATCTCCAAGTATTGTATCAGCTAAACTTGAAGGGCATCGGGAATCTAAACAGGGAATACAGCAAAGGACTGTTTCTGATACTCGATCAAGGTTGAGTAATGATGCACAGTGGTGCAGGTAGGTCCACTGCCTCGAGATTTGTGAGAATAAGGGGCTTGAATTATTATGATGGTGGCAATAGTAGGCTTTGTCAGTATTCTGTTATGACATAATTTATCAACTGGAAAGTATTCTTTCTTCCTCTTCGTTTTTTTGCTATGCTGTGGAGGATAATTAAGATGCCAGGCTTTTATTTATGCCTCTGAGGTTCTTTTTGTTTCGCATTTGAGTTGTATATTTGTTTTTGAGTTTCTTATTCTATTTTGAGCATGGTGTTAATGATATTTCCAGGGCGAGTAACAATAAATTTTTGGTAGCCCTTTGTTGTTTCTTTCATGTTCATTTATTTGTTGTACCCACATTATATAATCCGATACTATATTGCCCTTATTTGACATGATGTTTTGGTTGAGATCTAAATCTTCTGAATGCATGGTATGGGGGTTTAGATTATGATGAGGAGCTTATGCCTTTAGTGCATAAGACATCTAAACTAATGCCTTAAAGGAGCATTTACAGTTGTGAAAATGAAAATCCACTACATTTTCTAAACTGTGTTTTTGAACCGAATGGTAAACCATGTGATTTAATCCATCCTGGAAGTAATGTTTGAGAGGTAGAATAGTCTTGATTTGACCTTACACTCTTACTAAGATCCAGGCACATGATTTTTGGACACATAAAGAATGGATGTTTATTGTGGCCATTGCTAGCGGGATGTAATTTCCTTAATAGATGATCATAATGGTGGCTATACAGAAATTGTGTGAGGGGTTTTCTTGTTTGAAAGTTTCTTCTAACCTTCTATTTGAGCATTTCGTGAACTGAACCTTCCTGTATATTTATTGCTAACAGTTTGATATATCATATTCTTGATATTCTATTAATAAATAAAAAAATTGTTATAGGTCAGGAATTGCTAATGGATCTGTTGGAGTTGGAAAACCAGAAGGTATCTCGCAGCAGTCAGGTTTGGGTCCACGGTCATCTGCCCCTAGGAATGACCCGGATGCCAGTTACCTTCTTAAGGACAGGAGGGACCATCATGTTGCTCTTGATAAAGAGAGAATGAATCTCAGAGTTGCCAACAAGTATGCATAATTTTCTTGATGAATATTTTGTTTTCCATTTTTTAGTGTAAATATTCCATTTGCATTTATCCTTTGTTTTGTTATGTGGTGCATCTTTTTTTCTGGCACCTGGAGTTCCTTTTAGGTCTTACTTCTGTTTGTTTACTTACATGTATGCCCCTTTTGGTCTCTACAATGTGCAGGATTAGTGTTCGTGATGAATTTAATTCTGCTAGTCCTACTTCAAGCACAAAAATGAATGCATCTATTCGTGGTCCACGATCAGGCACTGGAGTTGCACCAAAGTTGTCACCAGTCATTCATAGAGCAATAGCATCAAATGAATGGGAGCTTTCTCACTGTACAAATAAACCACCTACTCACGGTGGAGCTACTAATCGCAAACGCACAGCATCAGCTTGGTCTTCATCACCACCTGTTGCCCACTGGGCCAGCCAGAGACCACAAAAGAGCTCCCGTACTGCAAGACGAACAAATATTGTTCCTATCATTTCAAGTAATGATGAAAGACCATCACTGGATACTATGTCTGATATGGCAGGTAATGAGATTGAGTCAGGATTTGCTAGATGCTTCTCAAGCAGTTCTCCTAAAAAAAATAAACTAAATGGTGATGCCTTATCTTCGGCAGCTCTTTCCGAGAGTGAGGAGTCTGGGGCTCCTGAAATCAAATCTAAAGAAAAAGTGAAAAGGTCCGATGAAATAGATGAGAAAGCTGGACAGAATGTTCTGAAAGTATCCACATTGGTCCTGCTGTCAAGAAAGAATAAGCTGGTGACTGGAGAAGATATTGGAGATGGTGTACGTCGACAAGGGAGGACAGGGCGGGGTGCTTCTACGAGGTCTATTATGCCAATGACAGTTGAGAAGTTTGGCAACGTGAGAACAGCAAAACAGCTCAGAAGTTCCAGGCTTGGCTTGGATAAGACTGAAAGGTTAAAATTTTCTTCCTACCTGACCACCTGTTACCTTTATTCTCCCAAAATATTTCTTTTATCGTGGTTTAGAACCCTTATTTTTCCTGATTGAGATCTCATAGTTTGGTGAATATTTTCTCAGCAAGGCTGGTCGTCCTCCAACTAGGAAGCTTACTGATCACAAGGCTTATGCATGCCAGAAGCATGCAGCAATGAATGCAGCTGCAGATGTTCTTGGTAGTTACATATCAAGTTTATTAAGGTGGTGTTTGTTTTTGAAGAGGTAAAATGTCTGCAGTCTGCGGACCACATCTGCAGGCATCTGCAGCAGAAGAGGTGGACCAAAAGTCTGCAGTCTGCAAGAAAAAGACTGTTTGTTTTTTAACGTCTGCAAACTGCTAAAATAAACTGAAATATAAATAAACTGATTTTTTAAACTTAAAAGAGTTTTGTAATACTGATATTTAAATAATTTTAGTTTTACAATACTAAAATTTAAATAATTTATACAACTACAATAATAATTTTTTTTAAAAAACAAACACTACCTTATTAATTCTATTATACGTCGCACATAATCACATGTATTATTAGTTTTATAAGTTTTATAGAATAAAATTTATAAATGATCATTAAATTATATGATTTTTTTAAATATGTAATTTTGTAATACTTTTAATTTTTTTAAATATATATTCATAATTTTTTTTATAATTATATGATATTTTTAGAAAATATTTTTTAATTTATCAAATTATTTTATGATTATTTTTTATTTAATTGTGATTATATTTTAAAATTTTAAAAACATAATTTATAATTTTTTATATTTTAAAATCTTAATTATCAAACAATGAAATCATTTTTTATTAAGCAATGTGGTTTAAATACTTACATTTTGTATAAAAAGTTTAAATATAATTTAAAAATAACAAATCTAAAAAATATTATATTTAAACTTAAATCAAAATAATTAAAATAAATATAAAATTTTAATAATATATAAAATAATTTATATGATATAAAATTAAATATCTATAATATAATATTAAAAAATTAATATTTAATTTATTTAAAAAATTAATATTAAAATTAATATCTATAATATAATATTAAAATATTAATATTTAATTTATTTAAAAAATTAATATTAAAATTAAAATAAAATATAATATAAAATTAAATAAAACCTCTTTGAAGAGGTTAGAAGACGTCTGAAGACATAAGACCACGTCTGCGCCGCGCAGACCACGCGCAGACGTTAGAAGGGCTTCTGTCTTCTAAAAAACAAACGGTCTGCGAAGCCCAATGTCTGCGCGTGGTCTGCGCGACGCAGACATAAGAGCTTTGCAGACCTTACACAGTAAAAACAAACACCACCTAAGAAACTTCCTTGGATTCTTAAAATCTAAGCTTAACAATATTTTTCGAACTTCTAAATCTGTGATTACGTGTACATGGCTTCTAATTGCTGTTGGTACATTTTTTTCTTAGTTGGTACCGAGGATGGACATGAAGAGTTGGTGGCTGCTGTGAATGCTCTTATCGGTTCTGGTAGTGTCTTCTGAAATATTTGGACATTTTTGTGTTTAAGTTTTGTTATTTTATTTGGTTCAAAGTTTCTTCTCACATTGGTTGATTTTACTTTCATTGCAGCTTATGCATTTCCCAATTCCTTTTGGAGGCAGATGGAGCCTTTTCTTGGTTTCATATCTGATGCAGATATTGCATATTTGAAGCAGCAGGTATCAGAGCCCTTTAATATGTTCCATTTTTAAGGGGAAAAAATCATTGGAAACTATTCTTTGATCAACTCTTTTGTTGAAATGCTTAATATGAGTAATTGTTTGCAATTTATGTTTGTTTTTGGCCAGGGTGGGTGATTTCCTTTCAACAAGGTAGGGGAAAGGGGAAATAAGTTCCTCTTGGCATGCTAATTATGTTAGGCATTGATGTATATCGAACCATGTGATTAATATTCAAGAATTCATCTTCTCATTTTGTTTTGGCATGCAATCTAAAATGATGCAGGAGCTGTTTTTTCTTCTTAACCACATCATAAAGTGTATGTTGTCAAATTTGTTTATTTTAACATTAAAAATTATGAGTGTTCTCTTAAGCACCTTGTAAAAAAAGAAAAGAGAAGATAGCATTATGCCTAAGCCTTTTTTGAATGCGGTTGTTTTAGACTTTTAGTTTCCGATCCAATTTCTGCTCTTATTGAGTCAAGTAACCCTAATACATGCTTCATTTCCGCCTCTTCCAAATGGATCATTTATTCTGGTGCTACAAATTATATGACAGGAAAGAGATGGCAGAATTGCTGCTATAACATCAACTGATGAAATCCTTTCACAACAGTTGCTTTTGGATACAAGGGACGATAATGTGATTCCCCTGTGTCATAGATTTTTAGCAGCTCTCCTTCCAGAAGAAGAGAGTGACAGTGGAAATGAAGACCTCCAATTTGACGCATATGGAGCTGGATTTCAGATGGATGGAGAATTGGACTCTAATGGTTTGAGTCATATCGTTAATTTCCAATCTACAGGGCATGCTTCTTTTAATGGTTATAGGACATCTGGGAAGCCAGAATATGATAACCCTGAAACTGATATGATGGGAAACACAGGAATCAGCTCAACTTTTAGTCATTCCCTGAATGACACTTTTCCAGACAAACCAATTCCTGATATGGTTTGTTCAGAATTTCAGTACGAGAGTATGAAGATAAATGAAAAACTCTTTTTGGAGGCACAAAGTGTCGGAATTCTCTTAGAACCAATGGTTAGTCTCCTTCTACATGAACATTTATGTTATATGTTGCATTATCCATATGTCTTGATATTATTTCATCCTTCATTTGGCAATTATCTCTCTCTTGCTCTCTTTGTTGTTTCAACATCAATATCATGATCTAGCAATCTGGTCATTTCTGTTGTTATCCGAATGGTTGGTTGCCAAATTGTGCATGTTTATCCACTGCATCTTCTCATTATCTTGAAGGACTTGTTTATTCGTCCTTTTTTTTTTTTGGTTTTCAGCCTTGACATTAAGTTTGTTAATGTGTTAAACTTTACATATTTCACGCTTTTTCAGCCTGGCATAACACAGATGGATGCTGATGAAATCTGTGAGGACATTAGTATGCTAGAGGAGAAGCTCAATGAACAGGTAGTTTCTCAAAGGAATTATTGAGGCTCCAATATGCAATCTTGTATCTACATTTTCTTTTTCTGCACACTTTACGGTTAAATTTTTATTCTTTATTTTATGATAATTGCCTTTGTGATATAAATGGATTTTGCCCTTCTATGCTCAGCTTATATACTTATTATTGGACTGTCCATTATAAAGTTCAAAACTTGTTCTGAGAAGTTCATTTTATAATTTTTTTGTGAATGCAATAGGTTTCAAGGAAGAAAGTCTTGCTTGATAAACTGTTGAAAGCTGCCTCAGAAGCAAGAACACTTCAGGAGAAGTATTGTTTTATCCTTTCTCTCCATATAGTTTTGTATTCATTTTCCTTTTAACATAAAGTCATTGGTGCCTAGTGTATGTATGAACATATCATTTTTGATATAGGGAATTCGAGAAAAATGCTATTGACAAGCTTGTCACAATGGCTTATGAAAAGTACATGGTAATTCTCTTAATATCCGGTCTCCTGTTTGTTTTGGTTTTCATTTGTGCACACTCATAATGACAATGTTTAATATCTTGAATGCACAGTACAAGTCTGTATGAAAGCGCTTTAACATAAGGATATAGAAACCAATCTTTGATCTAGACTAAAGTCAAAGGATTTCAATGAAATAATTGTCTGGGTGGACTAAAACTACTAACAAAGCAAGAAAGAAAAGATGGAAATTGGTGGGATTACAACATTGTTAACCTCAACCAACTCAAAGTTGGTGAAAAATCTTTTATATCACAGAAGTGAACTACCTCCTATTGGGTAGTTCAAACTCATAGTATTCAAATAGTGAAGAGACATCATCTCAAGATGATCCCAGAAAGTTCTTTTAGCTGTTATCTGTGTTCAAGTGGATAATGCTTCTCCAGTTATTGTTATCTGATATCTGGAATCTGTGTCAACCATGAGTATCATGTGGTTGAAAAGCTGAGGCTTTGTACTTTCCTCTCCCCCTTCCTGGTATACATGCTTAAACTTCCTCATTATTCTTTTCACCTTTTGAGTTTCTGGGGTTTAGATTTTTCTAAAAGCCTTTTGAAGAATTTAGCCATCAGAACTTTGTCTGATAAATCTTGTTTTTCTCCCCTCTAGAGCTTCTTACTAAGGCAGATAAATTTGCTTGGTTCTCTCTGTTTATGTTACAGCCTTTAATTTTCAATTGAAAATTTGTATGCTAACAAAGTTGGACTGTTGATTATCCCAGTTATCATGCTATATACTGTCATATAATGATATCATGCTGGTATTCTATTTTGGATAATTTATTAATAATCTTTTTATAGAGTTGTTGGGGTCCTAATGCTACTGGTGGGAAGAGTTCCGGTAACAAAATGATGAAGCAAGCTGCCTTAGCATTTGTTAAACGGACATTAGATCGATATCATAAATTTGAAGATACAGGCCAGAGCTTCTTCAATGAGCCCATGCTTAGGGACATTTTTCTTTCTGGATCTTCCCGGCTAAATAGTGCACGATTAGTAGATACTCCTACAGACACTGAATCTGGGAAGCCATATGCCAACGGCTCCACCCATTCTCTGGAAGGTAGAACTTCAAGTATTACTTTGATGCTTTTGGAGAGACTGAGAGCAGATATTTTAATTCCCCCATGTCTAATTGTGTCTGTTCGTGTGTGTTTGATCCATGTAATGTGATCCTCTGTAAAATGTTATTCATTGATACTGTTTTGCTCTGTCTTCTCACACAACTATTCTGGCAGGTCAAAATGGGGATAGTTATGTTTTTGATCTGCTTCCACCCACAAATCGGTTATCCGACCAAACTACTGTTAATGATGACTCATGGTCTAACAGGGCAAAAAAGAGAGAGTTATTGCTGGAGGATGTAGTTGGTGGTACTATTGGTTCTTCTAGTGCCCAGCCAGGCATTGGAAGTCCTTTGTCGAGCAGTTCAAAAGGAAAGAGGAGTGAGAGAGACCGAGACGGAAATGGACTTGGTATAGAGGTTTTATCTAGAAATGGAACTAATAAGATTGGTCGACCAATATCCAATGTTAAGGGGGAAAGGAAATTAAAAATAAAGCCCAAGCAGAAAACAACTCAACTATCTGTTTCTGTGAATGGCATTCTTGGCGAGATGTCGGAGCAACCCAAACTATCAAACCCCATATCAAAGTCAAATGAGATAACTACCGATGATAATGCTAAAGAAAAAGATGATTTTAGCCTGGATGTGTTGGATGACTTGCAGCTACCAGGACAAGATTTGGGTTCATGGTTAAACATTGATGATGATGGATTACAAGATCACGACTTCATGGGACTTGAAATTCCCATGGATGATCTTTCTGACTTGAATATGATGGTTTGAGTTGCTTCTTTGTATAATCTTGTTCATTATACCGTTGACAAACAAAAATACAACCACTGTCAGCTAGGGATTACTGTTTTGTGGATAGTTGCTTGGCTGTCCGGTCCATAACTAGGTTGCATAGATTCTTTATAGGCTCCTCCCGAAGTTGATTTTCAAGTGAACCTATTTGGATGTCTTGAATTTTTCTCTTAAGTTGACGACTTCGACTGTAGTGATCTTTTGTTCCTAGAAGTTGGTATGTCTTAGCAATTATATCTTGGCAAAAATGCATCTTGGCTGTAGGCTGTAGTCTTTACAAATCAGAGAGTAATGCTCAGGTTGTACATAAATTTATATTCCCAATAAAAATAATTTTTTTGTTCAATATAACAGTTTTCTGGGTTATTGGTCTTTACTTTCACTTTCCAGCTGCAGCAGCCGTTCAAAGTTATATGCGATGTGGTAACTTCACCTAAGCTTCAAGGATAAGAGGTAAGAATGTTCAATTCAATAAATGTTTTTGCATATAGAAAAAGATGATTGCGGTACCGACGGGGGACTACTAATTCCTTCCTGCTTTATTACTTGAATATGCAGATTCTCGCATCAATAATCTCAAGAACTATACATGGTAAGAATTAAGATCCCTCGTACTACAAGGTTGTTGCATCAAATTTGTGCTTCTTTTCACTGTGTTTATAGAGCACCGGCTACTTACTGTGTTACCAATACTATGTTATGCTTTAAGTCATCATTTGCAATCAATTTTGGCGTTGCACTCCTTGCTTATCTCCCCCTCTTCCAGCATCCGTTGTGGTAAGAAGTCTGATATGGTTGCTGGTAAACTGCTCCCATGGATTTCCTGATTGAGGGACTTGTATACCTAGGATTGAATGTTAGAATGCCGTGTTCCAATAAACCTGGCATTACCACTGAGGTAAGCTTTGCTCTAATCTTGACTATATAAACCTTTCCATGCATTTTATGTCTCTGTTTATCATTATTTTTGCAAGAGAATATCCACACGCTTCTGGGACAGTGTCCAAGGCTTGGCAGTGCCTATGTCAAGTAATGTTCATCCACTGCAGTCTAAAACATGAATTCATGTTTCTCAACTTGCAGTATGTTATTAGATGCGTAGGAAAGGAATATCGTCCTGTTTTGTATCTTTGTTCAACAAAGAATTGTACCAATTTTAGGATGTGACCATCTCAACTCGGTATTTTCCGATTCACAACATCAAGATTTGAGCTTCTGACATTATTTAAGAGATTTAACGCTTTACCCGCTGGACCAACTAGCAGTTGATAGTAAGTGTTCATTTATTTATTATTAATTTAAATTAATGAAAGATCTAATAATTATTTATTTTCTGTCATTAATTTAGTTAGACCCTAATATAAATTTCAGTATTTATGCTCGATAATAGTGACTTAGTGATCTCACCGTTTAAGACACGTGATTAACTTATGCTTGGTATGTGACAACTTGTAATTGGTTTGAAGTTTCTTTTATCTACAAATTCCCTAATGAATCAGTCATGTATACTATTTACCTTTTGATCCTATTATTTTTCGGACTTTTATTTAGAGAATTATATTACTTTGCGAGGTGTAACTCGTAATCTTTGAAATCCTCTATTGAAAGATGCTGAAAACCATCGAGTAAAAGATGACTGTTTAAATAATGGAAAACTGTGATCTTTGAATTTGTTTTGTGCCGTCAAAAGAATTTTTATGTTAAAAAGGCTTGTGATAAACGATACACATTGTAGTCCACTAACATTTCCGATGAGGTACGGACATAAGTTAAGTCGAGGTCAGGGACGCAGATGCAATTATGTGCAACGAGTTGGTAGTCACGATCTCTTCTAAAATTCCAAGTTCAATTATTTTTTAGATTTCTTTTAGCTTCAAGTGATTCAAACACTCATCGTCTTCATTCATTTTACTATAAACTTGCAAGAGTTAAGGATTGGATGTCGCTTCCTTTGGAATCCATTTAAGATCCATAATATAATCCATTAAGCAAACACATGACGTTTATCAAATTTCCAAAGCCGGTGGGCAACTTTGTCAGTCTTGTAAATGACAAATTAAGGTACTGCAAACTTTTCGCATTTCGAATATTAAAAACCTTTTAAATCCAGAATTTTCAAATTAGGCATAAAGTTGAAGAATGCATCGGAGAAAGAATCCAGCTATCCATCTCTTAATAGCAAAAATGTGAGATAAGATGGTGACTTACCTTAATCCGATTCGGAACATTCGTGGAGTGATCCATTTAGTAAAGATGTAAAATCGAGCGAAATTAAAGATCTGTGATGAATGCACTATTATAGGCCCCGTTGACTAAACATAATAAAAGCAATCGGGAACTCAAACAGACAAAAAGTCCACTTTCCATTATCAAATTCAGTACAATTCCTATTTCAGGAGGTTTATAAAACTGTTCTTGGATATATGACATTACTCTCAATTACGGAAAAATAAAACGCAGCAACAACTACAAATCGTCCCGGTTGCTTCTTTTGAGCCTAACCGAAAATTTGTCCAATCCAAACTCTGCCAAAAAGGTGGCAGTGTTAGCTTCACTAATAAATATTAGTTACAACTCACACAAGAATAGTTTGCTTATATTAGAATCTTTCATTTATTTATTTTTCTATCGTCCAAGCTTCCAAATGCAAGAAAAGTGATTTTTTAGATTCTAAAATCTAAATCAACAGAAACCTTAACAATTACGTTAATATGCTTTAGATAGGAAGACGAGAAATTTTGTTTCATCGTAGAGAAAATTCCTCCTTTAACAGATAAGCAGGAAAATCCTGTGATCAATCATCAATCCCACATCAAGCGTGGCAAAATTCAATTCCAAAGGCAGAGTTAGCAAGTATAGAGCAAACCCATATACTAAATTATGACACCAAACTCAAGCATATACATACCACATAGATTCTAAAGTGTTGCAAGTGGTGATCCAGCATCGTTGAAGTAAGATGAGAGATCAGCATTTGAGTCATCATACATGCTCAAGAAAGGCAAATCCTGTATTCACATTGAAATCAGATGTTAACCATCTTTAACAGATATTTAATCACTTCTTTACTGCTTGAAAATAATGGGGCCACAGAGGAATCAAGATATTTACATACCAGCAGTTCCTGAGCCGACTTTCTCTCATTCGGGTCTTTTTTTAAACTGCCATGGATAAATAATTAAAAATGCAAAAAAAAACCAAGGTTGGGCTTGATGAACTTGTATGATCAAACATACTATAAAATCCATCTGAAAAGAAAAATATTACCAATCACAGAGCATATCATTCCAGTAATGAAAGGAAATTGATATATGATCTCCTTTGACAGAATAACAACTCAAAGAGAACTTTTCCTTTAATACAGAACTAGCCAACTCATGAGCGCAAAAATATTCTAGAACATAAGGCAAGCGTATCAAGTAATTCAAAAAATAATATTTACCATGCAGAGATAAACGAGCAAAACTCAGGAGAAAATTGATTTGAAGATGCACAAGGTGGTGGTTGTTCAACAATTTGTTCCATGAGCTCATAAAAATTTGTCCATCCTGCTGCCTGATCTGGAGGGGAATATGGGAATTGACCAGTTGCACACTCAAGCAACACCAGTCCCAAGCTCCAAATGTCACTTTTATTACCATAATTGCCCCCAATAATTCTCTCCGGCTAGAAAAGAAGTGAATAGACATTAAAAGACTAATGAGTTTGGAACAAATAAGAATACCATAAAACACAGCAGCCAAAAGAACATTATTTTAGTAAATTAAATTACTTACAGACATATAGTTGTATGTGTCGACAAAAGTGTTTGCTAGTCCTGAGGTGCTCGTCATTATTGCACTCACACCAAAGTCGGTGATTTTGACTTCTCCTCTATGATTTATCAACAAGTTAGATGGCTTTAGATCACGGTGGATAATGTGTCTTTCATGATGAAGATACATCAAACCATTAAGCACCTGCATTAATGAGAAGAATTTCACACTGCATATCAGAACATTTGGTATAGACTATAAGTGATTCAAAGTTCAAATTTACAAACCTGCTTACATATTGCAGCCAGATAGGGTTCAGGAATTGATTTAACCTTTTTCAGGAAGTCTGCTAAGGATCCACCATCCATATATTCCAAGATGATTGAAATGCAGCCATTGTTATAGAAAGACTGATAACAAACAACAACATAAGGACACTGGGAGGACTGATTTATTTTCAATTCCTTTGCAATCTGCTTCCGAGCTGACTCCTCAATATTCATTTGAATAACCTAACAAAATATGGCAGGTCAGAAATCAAGAGTTGTGAGGACAAAATGGAGATGCAAAACTAATAGATCATTTCTATTGCTAATTTTTATTCATTTTTCCGGCTAGCTCCAATATTTAAGAAGCAACAACAAAATCTTTTTACAAGAATCACTTCTATCAAATAGAGAAAGTTTGTACATGCTTCATTAATTCTCAGTTTAGCCTACAACAGTTGCCTTTCTATAACAGGAAATTGATCATAATACATTTGTCAATCAAGGTGATACAAACAAAACCAAGTAAATGTTGTGTTGGAAGAGCAAATAATTCTTGCTTAACAAAATAAAATGGGAAATTCTAATACAAAATACATGAAAATACAGAAAGTGTTGAACTTGGTACATGGAAATGTACCTTCAATGCAAAAAACTGGCCAGTCCATTTGTGTTGGACCAATTGCACAATTCCACCATTACCCTTGCCGATAACTTTAATGGCATCTATATCTTCTACACTCAGCTGATTGCCATTGTCAACTTCTGATGCCTTAATAGGCGGAAGCTGATGCCACAAAACACACACAGATAGAATCAAATTTAGATCTTCGAAGCAAGATTTTTTTTAATGAAAAATCAAACAGTTTTCGTCAATTTGGTAATATCTATTTAACCAACAGCAGTCTAGAGATACATAAAAGGTCAAAATCTGAACAACGAAAAAAGACATCTAAGAAAGGGGTAAAAAATCAAATTCTTACAGATTCAGGTTCGGATTGAGAGACAATTCGAACACCGTCCTTGTTGACGAGGAGATCGCCATCTTTGAATGTGCCGCTTTCGGTTCTGCCAAGAGAAGATTCATCGCCAAAATCAAACTTCTAAAAAAGGAAAGTAGAAACTTTGAATGAGTGACGTGATAACAATTATTACAGAAATTTGGAGAAGGAGGTTTCGTCCGGAAGTGGAAGAGAGAGCTTCAAATTAGGGATTATAATTCCCTTTCCCTTCGGCATTCCTCTTTCGATTTCTTCTTTGTTTTAAAGCTGATTGGATGGAAGTCGGTCTTCGTTTTTCGTAAGGCCTTCGAGTTTAGGGTTTTAAGGAAAGAGAGAAAGGAGCAGTTTTTTTCTTCTTCTTGTTTTTGAAAACTGAAACGGGAGAATATTGGTTATTGGAGAGTGTTTTTATAATTCGCAGAGAGCAGCGATCAGTCTCCGCTACAAAACCGCGAGGAAGTTGGGCCTGCTTCCCCTCCAATTTTCTTTAATTTACCCGCGCCTCTGCTTTTGCTATCATTATTCGGTTTTAAATAGGGCATGAGACGAGACATATCGCGAGTTATTCGAGATAGATTTGATCAATGTTTAATAAATATTCGAATTGAATGGACTCGACTCGAATTCGACTCGAGTTCTTAACGAGTCTAAACCAGTTACTCGATATTTGACTCGAAAAGCTCGTGAGCAACTCAAAAAAAATGTTATATTATAATTTTATTTTTTTTAAATTACATTATTAAAAATATATTAAAAATACACTATTGATAATTATAGAAATTTAAAAATATATTAAAAATTTTATAATACAACTACCCTCAAATTTTAATTAATGTCATTACAATGAATCTTAAACCCTAAACCATAAATTATAAACTATGAACTATAAACCCTAAATTATATTTACCTCCTAATTCAGTACCAAGTCGATTAATTAATATCTTTACAATAAATCATAAATTATAAACCTTAAACTACAAATCATAAACTATAAACCCTAAACTCTAAAACATAAATCCGATTTTGTGATAGAAGTTAAGTTATGCACATGAAGATAACATACAAATTATACAAAATGATGTTATGTGACTCTTAAATAAATCAATCGCATACTTATACATAAACATAACAACATGAAAAATAAATATACACAACTAATTAAAGAAAACAAACCTAAACAGTGACTAAATTAAGAAAAATCTAAATATGATAACTAATTTAAGCTAAATATACTAACTTTAGAATGATGATTAAATTCAGATAACTACTTTCCCAATCATCAGATAACTGAAATTCAAATCAAATTAAGGCAGCAAACAGAGTGAGTATTGAAAATAAAATCAACTCTGAAACAGTATGTTAGACATCAATGCTTGGTAAGCTCCTCACCTCAAACGATGAGCAGGAGCTTTTAATGTGCTTATCTGCAAATGTCCATTGATGCTTTCCAGAAACTGCCACTTGTCCAACAATCCTGCATAACAAGTAATAAGAACTAACTGGACTTTTGCATAAGCTACAGATACATAAATTTGGTACTTATCATAATCACAATAGAATTTAATAGAGGATTGGGTTGGGGGGTAACAAGACCTTATGTTCAACTGATTGCATCCTTACATATTATTTCTTTAACTACTTTAACTACAGGGACTTCTCAGTATCTGGTGTAATCCACTGCTAATTGTACTGCTGCCCATCCCTATCTCTCCCCAAAAACAGAAACCAACTCTTTGATTTTGTTCAAAAGGCCCCCACCTCAACTAAAAGCAGCGAAATTTTCAATAAAAAAGCTCCCCCAACCTATCTTTTGTTTGCAATAAAGCCCCTAGCTTCCTCTGTAAGAGCCACTTCCAGCCTGTTTTCTCCTTAACCCTGCTCGCGGTTTAATTGGCGGTCCAACTGTTGGCAGTAGCAAACTATCTCTTCCCATTCCAAGACGCCCAATGACAGAAAAATGAGAAAAAAAGAAATGACTTTTAAGAAGTTTTCGTCGCAGATGCCAATTGCAAGATCAAACTCGTGAGATCAAATATGAAGCTCTCGTCGCAATTAACTCCGTTGAAGTCGTTGCCGCATCCGTCCATCTTTAGAACGAAAATATTTCCGATTCGTTGAAGAGAAAGTGAGAAAACTACAGATAGCAGAGAAGCATGTCTAGCTTATATCCGACGACATGGATAATTGGACTAGCTGAAGATCGAACTTTTCCAGAGGAAAATTACTTTTTTCTGTTGAAAAGGAGATTAAACAAAGAATTAAATTACTGGATGAAAGAAAAGAAGGAAATTAGAGGATCTAAGCTTAATGGAGTGGTGGGAAGAAGCTGATTTAAAGTTGAAGTTTTTTCTCCTTTTGGTTGGAGTAGTTCATATCCCACATATGTGGTTTTTTGAGAATAAGGGGTAAAGAGAGGGTATAAAAGGGGATGGTTTCAACAATTGGAAATTAATCTGTTTTTGAGCTTCAAACGAGCTTCAATCGAACTTGAGTCTCGAGTTTTGGTCGAGTTTTTAAATTTTTTTTTAGTTCGATTTGAGTATCAATTTTATCTTTCGAGTTCGAGTTAAGTTTGAAAATTTTAGGCTCGCAAGTTTTCGAGTCGAGTCGAGCTTACATTTAAAATTTTCGAGTTTGAGTCGAGCTCGACAATACTCGAGCTCGACTCGGCTCGTTTACACCCCTAATTTTAACACAATTAATTTATTCAACTAAAATTTAATTTTATTAAATGATTAGATAATTAAATATCAAATCAGTTCAGGATTAAAAATTATTTTAAAGTTTAATTAGTAATTAATTTGATTTAGAATTAGTTAAATAATTGAATTCATTAGATTAATCAAATATATTAAAAAAATTAATATTATATTCAAACATGTTAAAAATCGAGACTTAATTTTAATTATATTATATTCATTAAGTCTTTAAGATTTAATCAAATCGAATTCAAACGAAAAAAATTATATTAAATTCAAATTAATTTAACTAAGAAAATTATAATTAATTAAATTAATCAAATGTTATTCAATTTAGTTAATAAAAAAATAATGCAGTTAAGGGCTAAAGAAAAAAATCGGTTCAATTCGATTTGATTACTGACCAAATTAACAGATCGAATATTCCTAATATTTCCTATTTTTCTAATTGGATAAAATGATTTTTAGTCCAAGACCTTGGCGATTTCCCCCAAAAAGTACCATACACCTATATATTTTTCTGTCAGACTATATTTTTTTATCTAACATCCTTTGTAATAAAGCGTCCCCTACAACGCGGCTTGTTAAACGTGTAAAAAATTCAGATGTTAATTTTGTAAATATTTTTAAAGTGGTGCCTAATATGTAATTAATTTCTGTTAGGGTGATATTTGTGTAAAAACGCCAACTTTATCTATTTATTTTTTTATGATAATATTTTTAACAACAATTAATAATGTTTATTGACTTTTAAAATTAATTGTTTAAAAATATTTAAAAAAACTTTTAATTACAATTGAGAGATCAAATGAATTATTATTAATTTTTTAAAAAATAAAGAAAAATGCAATAAAATGAATTAAAAATGAATAAATTTCAATAAAAATATAATGTAAAGATAAAAATATCACATCTTTATTTAAAATATTATTTTTAATATTAATTTTAAAAAATATAAAATAAATATTAAATTTTAATTTTAATTTTATTAAAAATGAATAAATATTACTAACTGTTGTTAAAAAATAATAATTAATGACGAGACAAAACAGTTTTTGTGAAGATTGAGCAGAAAAGATAAACTCTTTGATCGGATGTTTATTCGTGGTACAATTGAGTTGATATTTAGACAACTTTATTGACTTTTAAAATTAATTATTTAAAAATATTAAAATAAACTTTTAATTACAATTGATAGATCAAATTAATTATTATTTATTTTTTAAAAAATAAAGAAAAATGCAATAAAAATGAATTAAAAATGAATAAAATTCAATAAAAATATAATGTAAAGCTAACAAATATCACCTTTTTATTTAAAATATTATTTCTAGTATTAATTTTAAAAAATATTAAATAAATATTAAATTTTAATTTTATTAAAAATAAATAAATATTATTAACTGTTGTTAAAAAATAATAATTAATGATGAGACAAAACATTTTTTGTGTGAAGATTGAGCATAAAAGATCAACTCTTTGATCGGATGTTTATTCGTGGTACAATTGAGTTGATATTTAGACAGCATTTAGACAATTTTAAGTTATTGACTTTGTACGATCGAATTTTCATTCGATTCCTGTAACTTTCTACACTTACGATTATTTAACAATCATAAACTTTTAATTACAATTGATGGATCAAATGAATTATTATTCATTAATTATTACATTTTAACAACAGTTAATAATATTTATTCATTTTTAATAAAATTAAAATTTAATATTTATTTTATATTTTTAAAATTAATATTAGAAATAATATTTTAAATAAAGAGGTGATATTTTTTAGCTTTACATTATATTTTTATTGAATTTTATTTATTTTTAATTCATTTTATTGTATTTTTATTTATTTTTAAAAAAGTAAATAATGATTAATTTGATTTCTCAATTGTAATTAAAAGTTTATTTTAATATTTTTAAAAAATTAATTTTAGAAATCAATAAACATTATTATCTGTTGTTAAAAATAATATCACGAAAAAATAAATAGATAAAGTTGGCATTTTTACACATATATCACTTTAACAGAAATTAATTACATATCAGACACCAGTTTAAAAATATTTACAAAATTAGAACCCATATTTTTTACACGTTTAACAAAGCGTGCTGTAGGGGGCGCCTTACCCCACATGACGCCATATCAGCCTAAAACGCGTTGTAGGGAGCGTGCTTTACTGTAAAGGGTGTTAGATCGAGAAATATAGCTTGAACGGTGTCTGACAGAGAAATATATAGGCATAGAGTGATTTTTTGGGAAAATCGACAAGACCTTGACAACCTTTTCCAACTTGGTCCTTAAGTTTTTTTTCTTCATGTTGGTCGAGGCCCAAAACTATAAGCATTGACAATCCAAGTTCCAATTCCACAAACACCAGGGTCGATCCTGACTATTTTTAGACTCGGGGCGAAAAAAATGGGCCCCAATATAAAAAATTTAAGAAATATGTAATATAAAAATTTTATTAGATTTTTTATTAAATTAAAAAAATAATTATTCATTATATTATAAAAGATATCAAAAATATATTTAAGAATACAAATACTTATAAAAAATAATACATTCGATCATTTTTTGATGCAAAACCATTTATGATGGCATTTGAAAATAAAAGAACGATCTTATCTAGAGTTTGAAAATATATAAAAATTAAAAGAAAGAATTTGAAAACGTGATCTACCTAGAATTTTAAGAACAATCTTCAATATGATTCAAGCACCACAATTG